GAGATAATGTCACTATATTCGTTGACAGGCAGGCGGTACTGAAAACATCAGGCTCTAAGAAAGTAAAGTGGAAAGTAGTTTGGAAATGTCGCGCATCGCTGCCTTCAAAATCTAGAGATGGCTAGACACGGCACGGAAATGCAAATTAGCCAAGCGGATAGCTCCCATCTACCACCTATTTCTTTTGTGCTAAGCGTGGTTAGAGAACACACCACAACCGTAACCTAAGGATCAATCGGGACGAGTGTGTGAGATCTCAAGATCCGTATGGCCGAGACTCAATAGGAGTCAAGTGGTAAAAAATTATTGTCGCTAAACAAATTTGCAAGAAGGTCTCTTACAGGCGTCATCCCAGGGCACTGTGTTATAGCACCAATCCCCCATCGATGCCATATACCAAGAAGTTGTCGGGATAAGAAAGAAGAGCAATTGATTTACCACTTCTTATGTCAAATGCCCCGCTCTCCAGGCAAGGCGCCTCAAACATTTGGAATCACGCTTTTTAAATACATATTCTGGGGGAGATAGCGGAGCTCCACAGCTTCATCCGGTATAGCAAATGGTTTAACAGATTATATACTGACAATATGGAATAACTCGGTTAGAAGGATATGTGCCTGCTCTTGGCACTCATAGATGGCATTCACTATGGACAAATATGCCGCCGGGTCGGAAGTATGCGCCTTTCTAACCCAAACTAAACCGATAAGTCAGGTCGGGTACCTTTGCGACTACCCTCGTACTTAGGTACCTATACCCTATAAGTGCATATATGTACATACAATTGCATGCACTACGTAGACTATGAGAGCTATGAAGATGAGCTTCTGAGACTCCAGTCAAGTCCAGTCTACTAAAAGGGGTAATCGTCACAAAAGCGTCAAGGTAAAATGTGCAAAAAAATCGATCAGATCGAAGAAGCAGGCATAACAAAAGGTAATACTGAATTATTTGTTGTATGGATGTTAGGGTGGTACTTAAAAATATCAAGGTCTAAATTTTGTGCGCGGAACCCCTTTTTATTCTATTTTATTCTAAGTACGTACAAAATAAAGATATTTACGAAAATTTAAAATTTTTGAAAAAATTAAATTTAAAAAAATTTACTAAGTTTTGACTTAAAATCTAATAAATTTGACATATTTTTGAAACTTACTCATATAAATTCATTAACTCGTTGAGTTATAGCTAGTCAAAGTCAAAATTTTGCCGAATTTTCGCGATTTAAAAATTAAATTTTTTCAAACCTGGTAGCGGCTCCAATTTTATTTATATACATTTTTTTAATTAAAATTCTCTTTATTTTGTACGTAGTAGTGGTACGTATGAAGTGGTGCCCCACGATGTTGGTGTTTTTTTTTAAGGACCACCCTAATGCACGTACATATGTATGTATGTATGTATGTATGTATGTTCTCTTGTACACACTATATGTAGTTGTGAAGGATATGCTCCAATATTTGGCAGTCTTCATATTGAGTAAGCGATCAGTTGGCCCCTGAGTAGGTGAAAAAGAAAAACAGCAAACATATGTACATATGTATGTAAGTAAAGGTAGTAGTGGCTCCAGTGACGTGAAGGAGAGGGAAGAGCGGTTTTGCTCCAATCTCAGACCACATGGTGTTGCAAGTACGAGCACCTTGCCAAATTTTAGGCAGGCCAGACATGACTGTCGCCCGTTTCCTGCGACCTGTCTGTTGTACTCACTGTATGTATTTTTGCGTATTTGCAAGTGCACATGTATGTACATATGTTGTTGCGGCGCAAAGATGTTGTGTGGCCACTAAAGAAAACCAAAAAAAGATATTAATATGGTTCAGTTCACTTTTTGGAGCTGCGTTTTTTTTGGCTATGTGTATACGTACTGGGTGTGAGTAACTCAATTGGTGATGGAGTAATACCGAAATGGGTAGCGCATATTGACAATCACGGATGAATGTGCTGCCATGTGCGGGTGTTTGTCTACCTACATATTTTTTCGACAATAGAGGGAGCTGTTGTGGAGCGATGCACGGTTGCAGTCTGGCAGGATGCATTCATTTCGCTTTTCATTGTGTTGAAAAGGATGCGCTGTTTCGAGTTGCATTGAAAGAAAGGGCGGAAATTTAATACTTACGATGTCGTCAGATTGTTCTTTTTTGTGCTTACTAAATCTACATTTTCTCATATTCTTCTTTATTCAAAAAAAAAAAAACGTATAATTTGTGTTGTCTTTGTGTTTTGCTTAAAAATTATAGTATGTCCTTATAAGTATGTACATATGTTCATATGTATGTATGCACATTTGCAACGCGTTAAAATTATTTCGGGTGTATGTTACCCAACACATATTTATGCATACAAACATACATATATTTCATAGCATGGAATTGCACGCAGGGCGGGAGGGTGACAATGTTTTATATTTAATTACAAATTAATATTGCACTTGTCCCGGCCTATGTGCGGTTTACGTGAGCAACAAGTGTTAAGTGGCAAACTAAATAAACAAACAAAAAAATGTATGCAAACAAAATTCGCGAGCATATCCTACTTGTATTTACATTAGGGGTATTCACGATCCGCTGCATACTGTCTAGCATGGTGCATAGATAGCATGATTGCCTAATTTTGTTGTTGTTTGAACACATGAAACAACAACAATCATAGCATGCATCGGATCGTGAATACCCCTATTGTATTGAAAGTTATCCATGATGTTTTTTTATGTGGGTCATTCCATGCAAACGAGGAAAATTATTTAAATTTTAAAATAACTTAATTTTCCCCAATAAGGGTAGCAATTTTTAGCTAAAAGAATACATTTCATAAATCTGTTGAAATTCAATTTTGGTAGCCCATTAAGTTTAAGTACAATAAAGTGCAACTTTCAAGTCCCTAAATTATAGACTTAAATTTTCATTTAAAAATCTAGGAGTACCGTTAATTTCTTCGTATCTAAACCAAAATGGTATGGTGCGACCTCTGAGGCACCACCTTTCCTCTTAAAAATAATTATAGAAATCGGTTAACTTGGTCCAAAGTTATGCGGTAGCATACAAAAAAAAATAAATATTAATATTAAGTCGGTTAAAAAGTAAAATAAAAAAGTGGTATGCAAAATATAAATAAATAAAATCGTTAAAACTTCAGGGTATCATATTTGTGACGCTGACTGTCAGTCACAAGGACTGGTCCCACTAGTCACAATTTGGAATATTTTTAAATACTTCTATGAAAATTACATCCGCCAAAAGTTTGCGGAAAACGAAGGCATAAGGAAGTAGTACATATATACAGTGGTGGAAGAAATAATAGAACTTTTTACTTTGACCAGTTTTGGCTATATTACTTTGTTTATTCGATGTTTAATATTTTTGTATAAAAGTCTAGCGCAATATATAACACACACCATATAAATCCACATTTCAAAGTTTGTATAAAAATTATAAAAATTCAACAAATTTTATCAAAATTCCCCGAAAATTTCAAACTTTTCAATCATTTTTTTTTTTTTAATTTTGGGTATGCTGTTTTATAGCCCATTAAATTTTAGTGGGTAAAACTGCAAACTGCAAGACGCTAGAAAATGGCGTTGATTTTTAATAATTTATCTGGCTGGCGGTGTTGTGCATTTTCTTCCATATAAAATATGCTCGACCATGCTCAAAATTTCTTTTTATATGGAAGGAAAAAAAATATTAAAAATCAATGCGATTTTCTAGCGTCTTGCGGTTTGCACTTTTACCTCCTAAAATTTAATGGGCTATGAAACTGCATACCCAAAATTTTTCAAAAAAATCTGATAAAAAGTTTGAAATTTTTGGGAGATTTTGTTAAAATTTGTTGAATTTTTATAATTTGTGTACAAACTTTGAAATATGGATTTATATAGTGTGTGCTATATATTGCGCTAGACTTTTATACAATAACATTAAACATCGAATAAACAAAGTAATATAGTCAGAACTGGTCAAAGTAAAAAGTTTCTATTATTTCTTTATATTGTACGACTAGACAACATTGGCATTGTCCACTTTCCTGCTGAAATAAGTAATACGATACGATTCGACTCTCGAAAGACGTCTTGCATTCGACACGACTCTCGCAATGAGGCTGAATGCCAATTTCGAACCACTGTGCAGTGGCGTTAGAGGAACGCAACGTAGAACAGTTAATTCTGGGTGGTATGCAACCAATTCTTTTTCGACGGGTTTGGACGATTGGAGGGAAAACAATGAAAAGAGAGGAACGCAACGTAGAACAGTTAATTCTGGGTGGTATGCAACCAATTCTTTTTCGACGGTTTTGGACGATTGGAGGGAAAACAATGAAAAGTTACAAATGATATTTCATCATGACAAGGCGAGTTCTCTCACATCTCTTAAAACAAATGATTTTTAAGCACTCTAAATGTCAAATTGATGATTCATCCACAGTGCTGATTTGATACCTAATGTTTTTTTGTTTTTTGTTCCCATACATCAAAAATAACCTTCGCGGACAACGATTTTCTTCGCCATATGTTTTCGAGGTACCGACTTTACTGCGCGAAAAATGCTTTGCCAAGTGGTTTGAGCGTAAGCAAAAGTGTATAAAACACGCTCAAGAATATCCTGTAAACCAATAAGACCATTTTTAGGAAATTCCGAATTTTCTAGGGTATTTTAAGGACTTTTAGCGAGCCTCGTAATGAGTAAATTTTAAGTGCTCTTTCGTTTTAGAGTTGGTTTTGAGCAAATTAAAAGCCCAAAGCAATAGCGATAACTTTATTAATGATATGCTTAAGGCTATGGCGATCGATGAGAGCCGATTTTTGAAAAAGAATTTCAAATATTTTTTTATTTTACGATAAAGTTGAAAAAATATATTTTTAAGCTTGTTATGACCACAAAAACTAAAAACTTTCAGAGTTTAGAAAAAACGGTCCGAAATCAGCAAATTTTTACGATTAATCGCCAAATATTTGTAAATATATTTATCTTTTTTTAATTATTTTTATTATTATTTTTTCGTTACAGATTAAAATAACATCGAACATAGTATCACTTATCTTTAACAATTCTTCAAAGGACTCGTATCACCTTTTTCGTTTGAGCAACTTTCGATATTCAATAAAATTTTGTTTCGAATTCTAAAATGACACGAGTATATCCGACAGGTAAGTGAATTTTCGAAGGTAAGTTTCTCAAATATGGCCAAAAGGAAACAAACAGAGGAAATTTTAGCAACTTGAAGTATTTTTTTGCACAATTGGGTGATTCACAAGGTGTCACAATTAGTCATATTGCCATAATGTTATAAATTTTATGAATATTTTTGAGCGATTCCTAGCAACCACAAGACATTTTTCAACATTTTAAGATTTATGACGGTAGTATAATTTTATGACACCTTGTGAATCCACTTAATATTAAAAGTGAATGCTTCACCTAAAAAATTTTGTTTTTTCTCCGATATGCCTAAAATGAGGAACAGTATAATTTCAAACTCAGTATGGTGGCTCAAAAAATTAATACTCAGACTTGAAACACATTGATAACGATAGGCTACGGGCTTCGAATTATTTAAGACATACTCTTACACAGATTATTCTTTTGGCGGCGACAGCGCTATACAGCGACTGTGGTTTTGGCCTGATTAGCTCTATTTATGCGTCAGAAAGAGAGGCTGACAATCATTAATGATGGACATTTTTTATTTTTTAACCGACTTCCAAAAAAGGAGGAGGTTATCAGTTCTTCGGAATCTTTTTTTTTTTTTTTTTTTTTTTATGTATGTTACCGCATAACTTTGGACCACGTCAACCGATTTCGATAATTCTTTTTGCACGGAAAAAAGAATACCCGTATAAAAAGATATATTTAGAACTGCCTCAAAGCCCATGAATGTTATATGGGGAAAAACGATCGCGTAGAAACGGTATATAATTCTTGAAAAAATTGTTTCCCTTTTGAACAATCCTAAGGGGTGAGAGCTTAACATTTTGAACTTTTTGTTCCCGTAGGTATTTTTGGCCCACTCTAATGTACATACATATCGTCGTTAAAAGTGCAAAACCGCGTGTCGTGGTTCCGCGAAACCTCGCATCTGACATTTGTGCCAAAAATGAGATTTGCTCACCGGGAGCTCCTGGCATTAAGCCTTATCCATTCATACCTAACTATCGATATTTATATATAAAAGAGAACCGTTTTGAAATAAGACAGCTGTTACTCTAGAAATTGGACCACCCTAATATATGTACGTACTTACATGTACTATTTATAACGCGCTTAGATTATCATAGGTAAATACAAAAGAAATTTCGCATAATTATTGATTTTCTACCTTATTGAGCAAAGTGCTAGCGCACAAGTAATTATATTTATTACAAGCTTCAATTCAATTGAGCCATTTAAACTCAAAAGCAGCAAGGGAGAAGTTAAAAACAACGATAAGTAAATACTAGTATTACAAACTATAAATACGATTTGTTGATAGTGCATATTTTTTCTGCTTCTAAATTACACTTAGCTTATCTAAGTAGCCACTATGAAATAAATAATATGTAATCTAGAGCAAATAAGCGAAAAGGAATTTTTTATAAAATTTTTGATAAAAAATAAATGTCAAAAAAGTGTAGTGTTCCCCTAAATATATTGTGCACAATTTTTTTTTTAAATACTATTTGTGTAACCATTTTCATGTTTTGTATTTTTTTTATTTGTAACGTTTTAATTTTTATTTTTTTTTTTCTATTATTAGCGTTTGCTATTTACATAAGTGTAAAATGTGCTGCATACATACATAAAGTATTCAAGTGGTATAAGTCATATCATTTGTTAGCTCGTAATATTTTCGAAATTCGAATAATAATACTCTTTTGTTTACATTTGGCTCTGCCGAGCTGACTGTATGGAAATTTCGTGAACCTAGACTTTTATGCAAGTTTTGTATTTTGAAATTTGAATAAAGCTGAGTATTTAATTTCACATTGTGGGTGGAAAAATAAATAAAACTGAGTTGATAGTAAAAAATTTCTGATTTCTGATTAAATATACTAAGATTTCAATTAAAAAAGTGATGCCTATATGTTGCAAAGAACACGAAATCCCTAAATAAAAAAAATAAGAAAAATGTGTGTTTCTATGTACAATCAGAAATAATTTTAACAGTATAACAGTCGGTTTTTAGTTAGTGTACATAATAATGAAGAAAAAAATATTTGTGTTAATTGGAGGTAAGTTCTATGAATTTATTTATGCAAAAAAATCGTCCTAAATTTCTTTTTGAGTTGATCGTTGTTTAGATCTAGGTGTGCGATATGTATAACAAAGGTCTGCCAAAGCAAAACAA